CCTTCTGAGTTGGGCCTTGAAAGTCAGTGATGTTAACATTTTAATAATAATAACAACAACAATAATAGCACTTGCCATTTACTGAATTCTTTAACATTCCAAGCATTTCACATCATTTTATGTGACCCTCAAAACAATCCCATTTCACCACTGAGGAAACAGGCTCAGTGAGAAGAAGTAACTTTCCCTGCACAGCTGACCAGCCCAGGAGCAGTGATTGAACCATGTCTGTTGGACTTCAGAAGCTTCTCCTGTTCTGAGGCCCACACAGGGCAAGACGGAGTTGTCAGAGGTTGGACAAGGCACTCCAGGAAGAGGACACAGCACAATCAAAGGCCTGGGAGCTGGGAAAGGGTGATGCTGAGGCAAAGAGGCCCTCAGCAGTCTGAGGGGAACTGAGATTGAGGGCAAGGCCATGGTGACCCGCAGGTTCCAAGGTGTTCCAGGCCTATAGGCACAGTTGTGCTTGCTGACCACAGTGAGGGTGTGAGGACCAGGAGGCAGGAAGCAGGAGCTGATGTGGGCCCAGGCTCGGGCCTCCCACAGAGGCATTGTCCATGGGCGGTAGGCATGGCGGGCTGGGGAGCCCAGGAGAGGGTGTTTGCCTCTGGAAATGTGCTCAATGGACAGGAAAGGTCTCTCCCAGGAGGCCTCACCTTTAGGAATTCATGGCCTTCGATGCATCTGCAAATATGGCGGGATGGCAAATATGGCAGGATGGCAAACACTCCTGCCTTATTCCTCTTGACAACTCCAGGAAGATGAGACCAGCCAGGACCCAGCCACATGCTGTATGGTACCAGGGCATTCTCTGCCCTTTCTCATCCCCCTGCACATGGACACAGGATTCAGCAATGGCCCTCCCAGCTCTGAACCACAGTCTGGCTTCTCGACTGAAATTGGGCAGCAAGGATAGTTTCCCAGATTATGCCAAATGGCTGTCTGCCTCTCGCCCTGCAACATTAACCTGGAGTTGCTGGAGGACAACATGATTGAGCTCAAGTCCCAGCTCTGGCACCCCCGGCGGTGACCTAAAGCAAGTCACTCACTGCTTAGCCTCAGATGCCCTTGGTAAACCTAGGGCTGCTGAGCCCCACCTCTGAGTTGTCTGAGCAGCTTAAGTGAGCCAAGGCCTTCCCCCGAGCAATAGGTGAAGGGGGTCCTGCAGGGCTGTTCATTTGTCCTCGTAGTTCATAGTCATGCCTCATTATTCATTCACTCCACAAATATTCGTTGAGATTCTGGAAGGCACAGACAAAGCAAAGAGGGTGTTAAACTGCTACAGAAAAAAAAATGAATAAAAGCACATGCTAAGTGCTATGGGAGCATGCACCTCGGTTCATTTTCTCAGCATCCTTGAGGGAGGTGCCACTACTATCCCCATTTTACGGATGAAGACATTGAGGCTCAGAGAGGTTAAGTAACTTGCACAGGGTCACATGGCAAAGAAGTAGCAAAAAAGAAATTCAAACCTATTCTCTTGAGTGAATTAACGGAGATGTATATTCCTAAATCCTTGGGTGCATTAGGAATAAGGGATGGGCAAGGCTATTACTTCCTTCCTCCAAGTTCATTATCTGAACTAAACTATGATCATAGCTTCTCTACAGAGGCTTACCCCACTATAAGTAATTATAGCAACAGCAACATTTATTGAGCATTAACTCTGTGCCAGGACCTATGCTCTAAGCCATATGCACCATGTTCCTCTCAGCACCCTATGAGGTAGGTGCTACCATTATTCCCATTTCACAGTTAAAAAAAATTTGAGACTCAGAGAGGTTAAGGAATGTGCTTCGAGTTACACAGCATAGAAATGATGGAGCCAGGACTCAAACCCAGTCTGTCCTCAGAACACTCCTATATCCACCAAGCTGGGGAGACATCCCTAGATAAGTTCTTTTGTTTTGTTTTGTTTTTTACGCCTACAGCACCCGGTCTTCCTAGGTGGTCTGCCATCCAAGTACTAACCAGGCCCGACCCTGCTTACTTCCGAGATCAGACGGGATCAGGCATGTTCAGGGTGGCATGGCTGTAGACAGCCTAGATGGGTTTTGAAGTCAGAGTTCTAGTTCAAATCCTGACTCTGTCATTTGCTGACTATGTGAGGCTGTTTCCTCTGTAGTAAAGTTGAGCTAATGATGCTGACTCTGGTGGGGTTGACACTCCACTGACAACCAATATAAAGCCTAGGATGGCACTTGCCATGTCATAGGTACTTCATATATCATCACTGCTACTGTTCTCATCATTGTCCCCATGGGAGTGACTGCCCAGGAGTCAAGAAACCCTGTGCACAGGCCACAACATGCCTGGTCCAGCTGCTGCCACATGCCCCAGTGCCCCATCCACCCTTCGAAACCTGAGATTTCCTTTCTTCGAACCTCAGGAAGCTGGAATTCTAAGGCTTCCTCCAGTCAAGGATGTGGTTCAACAGAAGCAACAAATATTTTCCTTGGAGACACTGGCCCAGTCTCAGGCCTTGGCCCAAATGCAAAGAATGACAGCCTAGCCCAGGGTATACAGGATATAAGGCTGGACTTCCAGACCCACTGCCCAGGTGAGAAGAGCAGTAGGCTGAAAACTCTCGTGTGTCCAGGTAAAAGTGTGGGGAAGGGGCTGAAAGCCTAGAGCACCAGGAATGTTCTGAGCTGCAGACACCTGTTGAAGTCAAGTCAGGAGCCAAGAGGAAGACTTAGCTTTGAGGTAAGGTCCCTCAGTCCACTAGGACCCTCGGAGGGTCAGGACCAGGGAGTAGAGAGGTCCCCAGCTCTTCACCGAGAAAACTGAAGAGGAGTGATGAGGAATCAGACTGGCCAAGTCTTTCCCTGACCTCTTCCCAATGACGTAAACCCACTCTGCACATGCCAATTGCTCTGTGCCCAGCCCTGTGCTAGGATGATAATGGGGACGAGAAGCATCAGACAATCCTGGTCCCTCAGGGAACTCCCAGTATGAGCCAGTGAGGTACATTCTGTGCTCAAGGAAAGCCCAGGCACATGGTAGTGGAGGGCAGTCAGGGAAGGCTTCCTGAAAGAGGTGACGTGTCAGTTGAGAAATCAAGTAGAAGTTGGCTAGTCAAAGGAGGAAAGAAAGCCATTCCATGGGAGGAGAACAACATAAGCAAAGGCCAGGAGGCCAGATACAGTGTTGTGAGGTTGTGCACAGTATTGGGATTTGGGGAGGGGACACTTTTCCACAGAAGTGGTTGCTACCATCCTCTTGGTTCCCTGAGCACCTCTGATCAGAGCAGGACAGAGTGATGTGCAAAGATAATGGAAAGAAATCAGGGCCAAGATGCTTTAAAGAAAAAAGTTATAGGGGCTAGGGGGCTTCTTGGGCAAAAGAGCAGGGTGCAGAGTGCCATCTCTGTCTTCTGGCTTTTGACTGCAAGGTGATTCTTTCTGACCCCAGTATCAGTAATAATAATTGTCATAATCATAATAACGGCTAAAATTCATTGAGCTCTTGTGGCATTCCAGACTACAAATAGATTGTCCCATTTAATCCTCCCAACAACCCTGTGATGTAAGTAATAATATTATCTCTTATTTTATAGATGAGAAAACTGAGGCTCACGGAGGGTAAGTCACTTGCCAAAGATCACACAGTGATAGAGGCAGTCCTCCAGCTTGGGTCTGTCTGACTTCAAGGCCCATGATATTTCTCCTCTACCCTCAAGCCTCCCAACAGACAGGGATGGGGGTTCTGTGATTTAAAAAGGGTCTCCATGGCCTAGACCTTTTCAGTTTAGCAGGCTCAGATTCCCCATTCTTCCAGAGCTCCCAGAGACCATTCAGTCATTCAGCAACCATTTTTTTATTAAGCACCCACTGTGTGCCAAGTACTATGCTGAATAGTAGAGACACAGGGGGAGCAAGTAGAACCAATGCTCCCTCCCAGAGCTCATGGCCCGGTCAGGGAGGCAGATATTGAATCATTATTGCAGGTGTCTCTAAGAGCTCACACTGTTCTAGTTCATAGAAGACATACATCATCCAGATGCCACATTTGTCTTCGGCAACAAGGAAACCACATGCTGAGCCAAGTAAGAGCTTGGGTCTCTGGATCAGCATCTTTCCTCCCTCCAAGCAGAACAGTCCACAGGAGGCAGAAGCTTCCATGGGGTCTTGGAGGCTGAGCCAGAATGCAAGCTGCGGAACTCAGAACCAGGTTACAGGTACTAATGTTCCACCTCATGGAGAAGACAGAGCAGCCAAAGGACCAGAATACCCCCAGCTCCTCTCCCAGGAAACACCTACAGGCCTCTCCCTCTCTCTCTGCCTTTCTCCTTCTGGCTCCAAGCAGCCATCTAGTCCTTCCTCAGGCCCCTTAGAATTGTGGAGTAAGCAAACAGCTTTCTTGCCACTTTCAGTCCTACCTGCATTCTCATGTACCTCCTGCCTCCAAACTTCCTGTCCTGGGCACATAGGACAACATTTCTCCAAGCGTGGTCCAGGGTCTCTTGCTGCAGAAGAGGGAAAGCTTTATAGAAGAAAGGGACATGTGAGCAAAGTTTTAAAGGATGAATGGGAATCCAGCAGGCTCATGAGGAAGGGGGAAAGTATCACAGGAAGAAGGAAGAGCAAGGAAAAAGGCACAGACACAGGAGACAACAGGGTATGTTCTGGGACCTTCAAGCAGCTTTAGGTGACTGGAACTTTATAGAGCAAGAGGGGAATGAGCAGGAGGTGGAGTTGGCTGAGGCTGGACCATTGAGGGTTTTAAGTGTCAAATGCTATAAAGTAGGGCACTACTTCATTTGCTGGATGAGAAAACTGAGGTACTGAGAGGTTAAGCTGGTTGACACAGACCCAAATGGTCAGGCTCCAGAGCCCACCCTCTTAACCACTTCACAAAATGGCCTCTCATGGACTCCGTGCCCCAAGTCACCAGGTGTGGTGGTCCTGCCCTTGGCCTCTCCTCCTGACTAACAGGGCCCTTTGTGCTCACCCCAGGTTCTGACGCCTGCCACCTGCTGCTCACTGACCCCCAAGAAGATGGCTGGCTCAAGGACCTTCACTCTCCTCTGCGGTTTGCTGGCAGCCACCTTGGTCAGAGCCACCCTCAGCCCCCCTGTGGTTTTGAGCCTCGGCCCAGAAGTCATCAGAGAAAGTAAGTCTCAGCCACTCAGTCCTCAGCACCGTGAGGCAAGGGGGCAGGTGGAGCAGCTCTCCAAAGGAGGGAAGGAATTCCCCATCACTGGGGAAATGCAAGGCACAGCTGGGACCCCAGGTCTAAAGTGAGACGCAAGTGGGCGGGTTATAAAGCTTGAGAGTGTCTAAGATTCCCAAAAGCCCATGACTTTAAGATCGTTGCCTTCTTAAATTCCGTGATTCCAAAGACCCACTACTCTTAGTCCCGCAGCCTGCAGAAGGGGTGTGTAGCACGGCGTGTGATGATATACCTGCCCCTCCTATTTCCCACGCCTAAATCTCCCAGAGAGTTAGAGTCAGTATGCAACCAGTTCCCAGAGCAAAGACTTTCGGCTGGGAGTCTGGCGGCCTGGGCCCCAGGCACAGCTTTATCACCCTCTAGCTCTGAGGCCCTGGGCAACTCCCTGAACCTTGGTTTCTGCCTCTGGAAACAAATGAGAGGGCCTGCCTCGTGAGTTTGCTGGGACTATCCAATAGGACAGGAAGTGACAAGAGCTTGATGAACTCCATGGTCAGGCTTCTCAACCCCAGCACTTCTGACCTTGTGAACCAAATAATTGTTTATTGTGGGGGGCTGTCCTGTGCATTCTAGGATGTTTAGCAGCATCCTCAGCCCAATCGTGACAACCAAAAATGTCTCCTAGGGGACAGAATTGCCCTAGTTTAGAACCACTGCTCTCAAGTGTTATCCCCTAAGAGGGTGATAATCAGTTGGCTCTGGAGGTCCATCTAAAGACCAATGCTCTGCATGCCCTGGCCTGGGCCAGGGCTGGATGGGTAGGCATGGTCCTGAAGGGCCATACAGGCACTGGAGCCAGAGGAAGGATCCCCAAGTAGAGACAGGGAACAGAGAGTTCTAGGTGCTATGGGGAGAAGCAAAGGTGCCCTGGGCCCATACTGTGGATTGCAAGCATACGGAATTTCAGCCAGAAGGAGCTTGGAGATGAGCGACCATGTTTAGGTTCCCAGCCAGGAAAATCTTGAGTTGAGTTGTGTGCAAGTAGTTGGTTTTAGAGGTGATCCCAGAAAACACCTGCAGGAGAGTGGGAAGCATGTCAGGCAAGGGCATATAGTTACCACTGTGAGTTGGAGCTCAGTCCTACCAGGTGACTGTGTTAGTTAGGGCCAGACAGGAGGCAGAAACCACACAGTAAGCTTAACAGGTGAGTTTGTATAAAGAATAATGAGCAGGGGATTGGAGTCATGGGGAATTGGCTAAGAAGGAAAAAAAAAAAAAAAAAAAAGAACTTCAAAGAATACCCTGGATGCTGGGGAGAAAGGAAGGTTAATCCATGGAGAGAACAAACTTGAAAGGAAAGAATCCTCCCCAGACCTCATGGGAGAAGTGTGGTTGAAGCCCACTGGATGGTAGAGAAATCACCGAGTTGTCTATGTCAGAGCCGATCCACAGCTGGCAAGCTGAGGCCAGAGAACTGCCTGCAGGGAGTCAATGGAATTTTCTGGAAAGCTGCTCCTGAGGAAGGGGGTAGCTGTCGACTCACCAGGAAGCTGTCTCCTGGAAACTGCCAGAAGGCAAGCTGGGATGCCCAGAGTACTCACTAGCTGCCCTCAGGAGTGCTGCTGAACTCACAGCCCTGGACAGTGATACCACAGAAGCCTGGCAGGAGAAGGCCAGGGCCAGAAGGGGCAGCCCCTTCCTCCGTCATGTCCTTCCAGAGCCTCTACTGACAGGACTTAACGTTGCACCAGCTGGCAAAGGAGGAATATTTACAGGGCGCATCTTTGTTATCACAGGCTAAAAGCGTGGTTTTTCTGTTGAGAGGCAATAACACAGAAGGACTGAGGACACGGCGAGGCACCCCCACCTGAGTCATCCCGCCCGAGGGCTGAGGGAGCTGGGGTGTTCGTACACCAGTTCCCATAGGTCACTGGCCCAGGGCTGCTTCCCAAGCATCAATTCTCCAGCACTTCTGACCTGCTCTGCACACAAGCCAAACGGGCTCTGGCTACCGGTAGGGAACAGAACCCAGAGTTACTGTTTCACGGGCCCCCGATCTTGCCTCCTCCTTTCTCTGCTAATCACCTGAGGCTCTTTGGACAATAGGCCCATAGGATGTGATGGCCACAGAATTGTTAGCAAGTGTGTTTTGGCAGCAAAACAGTCCCAAGCAGAGCCTTGTGGGTTCCCAGCCTCTTGACTCCAGAAGTGTTTGCCACTGGCTGGTGGGAAGAATGCAGGTCCATGTGCCAAGAATCCCGGCCAATGCTCCCAGCAGAGGCTGGCAATGCTCAGGGGTGTGAATGGTCCCAGTTATGCCCCAGCCTCAGTCTCCATGTGAAAATGACCCATCTGGGCCTCTGTCCTCAAGGCTACATCTACACGGTGGAGATGGTTAGGAAGGAGCAATCCATAGCCTCACCTTGTGCCCAGATCCAAGTAGCCCTGAGTGATGTCTCACCCCAGCCTGGAGCCCCCACCAAGCCATCCTTCTTGACCCTCCTGCTATACTCTAATCCCTGGGATCTGCCTCCAGGGCTGACAAAGGAGCTGAAGGACCATAATGTTACCAACATCCTCCAGCAGCTGCCTCTGCTCAGCGCCATACGGCAGAAGCCGGCGGGGGGCAACTCCATACTAGGCAATCTGGTGAACTCTTTCCTGAACCATATTATCTGGTAAGTCAACAAGACTAAATTGGGAGCTCC